CCAGTGTGATAACGTCCATAGTATTCAAGAATATTATGTTCTGATGTTATTTTTTATATATCTATTGGGAAGAAATCCATTTTGGTCAGTATGAATCAGATCTTTCAGTATTTTCTTTAATCTTTCCGCTATAATGGACGTGAATATTTTATAATCTACTTTTATGAATGAGATTGATCTATAATTACCCATGTCTTGTTTTTCCTTGTTTACTTTAGGGATTAGTGATATGTAGGCATCTTTCCATGGGTCTGGGATTCTTTCTAACCAAATATCATTTAGCATGTCTCTTAGAGATATCAACAATGCTTCTTCCATTTTTTTTTATAATATATTGTTGATAAGCCATCTGGGCCCAGAGCCTTCCCCAATTTCATTTTTTTATAGCTTCAGATATTTCCTTGATGTTGAATTTTTCATTCAATGTTTTTTTCTGTTCTTCGCTTAATCAAATTATCTTTTATTTCTTTAAATACAACTGTCTCTCTTCTTTTTCTTCTGTAGTCTTAGTTTTGTTATCATAAACAGGCTCAAAGAAATCTCTAAATGCTGTTTTAATATCTTCTTGATTTGTTATTATTTTATCCTTGTACTTTATTTCTGTTATAATCTTTGTTTCTTTTTCTTTTCTTAATCTGTTCACTAAAAATTTTCCTGCTTTGTTTCCCAATTCAAAATATATTTGTCTTCTCTTTCTCAGTTTTTTTTTTCTATTTCTGTTATGGTAAGAGACTAATTGTTGTTGTAAGATTTTGACTTTTAAATGTAGCTTCTTATCTCCTTTCTTTTTCCATTCCTCCTCTGTCCTTTTTAATTCCTCAATTAATTCTTTCTCTTTTCTTCTTTCTCTTTTCCTGCTTTCTATTTGTTCTTTCAATAGTATGCCTCTAATCACCGCCTTACTGGTATCCCATATAACTTTATTTTTTACTTCAATTGTCTTATTTTCTTTAAAATACATTTGTAGTTATTCTTTTACCTTTTTTACTATTTTTTTCATCTTTTAATATATCATCATTTAGTCTCCATGAGAAATCAGGTTTTTTTAATCTCTGATTTTAATTTCTACTGGATTGTGATCTGATGTTATTTTTGATAATACATCTATATTTTGTATTTGAGGTAGCAGTGGTTTTGTAGCTATGTACATGTTGATCCTAGAAAAAGAATCATGAGCTTCTGAATAGAAAGTAAAGCCTTTCATGGAGCCATTCTTTACTCTCCAGACATCTTTCATTTCAAATTCTTCTAATAAATCAAAAAATGTTTTGGGACGTTTTCCTTGATTTTTTTTAAAAAAAACAATTGTTTCTATTAGACGCTCTGTCTATGCATGGGTCTATGACTGCATTAAAGTCCCCCAACAATAAAATATTCTCATATGTATATTTTCTTAGATCTTCTGTAATTTTTTTGTATTATTTCTCTCTTCTTTCCCCTGGTGCATAGATTTCTAATAATAATAATTTCCTGTTTCTCAGTACTGTTTCAACTGCCAAATAATATTGTTTTCATTTACACTGCTTATTGTTTTCTTCTATTGCTGCTATTGATGACACCATTGATTGCTGCTATTGATGGTATTGCTTTAGAATGCATGGGTTCCGAATGTGTGTGATTTCAGGAACCCCTCCCCATAAATGAGATACTCCCTTCTGCATAGTGACCTCTCCTTACAAATTCTCACTCCAAAATTTTATGACATTGTCTAATTTGAAAGATATTGATCCCATGCACCTGTGCTTTGGTCTCAATGCTTTCAAATGGGGAATCTGTTAGCAAATATGAAATTAATAAAATTTTGGGACACATGTGGAGTTCCCTCTATGACCCTGAACTGACTTCTGTGGGATGTCAGCCATAAACCTCTAAACGGCAGGTCAGGTAGGTACAGGGAGGGCCTGCCTAGACAACTGGAAAATTCCCTACGAGACAAGTTTGGGAGTTACTAAAGGGGAAAGACCATTATCCCAACATAATAGGGCTTGTTTGTCCTCAGTCTTACACCTGATGTGGCAGTGATCAGACTTTACTGCACCCTTTCTTTTATCTAGCCTTCTCTCCTTGATTCTGTCAAGACCCAAGTACATTGTTTAAGTCATCCTTACACCTTGGCTTAACAAAGCCAAGGCAATCAGCGCCTTTGTCCAGGCTTCAGCCAAGCCATCAAGTCTATATCTAGAAGCAAGATATTGTCTATATAAACCCCTAGATTCTTAGACTCCACATGCTATCCTTAGAGTTCATCGACTCCACATCAAGCTGTGCTCTGATCATAGCTCCCTTGGTCATCTCTCTTCCCCCCATTTCTGAAGCCATATATCATCATTATCTTCATCCACATCCACAGCAGATCCCAGAGAATCCTCCAGAAGTGAGTATCTCCAGTAGTCTGGCCCATCTCAGTCTATTCCTACTTTCACTCCTTTACTTCTAAGTATGCACTGTGAGTATGTGCGTTATATTTGTATGTGTGCAGTTTTCCCCTTTTAATAAATATATAGACCTTATTGAAGAAGCTTGTCTCAGCATCTTCCATTGTGGAATCTCTTAGTCCTCTGGTATACTCAATGGTACACCAGCCTTGCAGAGTGTTGTTATGGCCCCACTCTTGCATATTTGAGCTAATTATAAATTCCCCTAATTAGATCCTTCCTAACACTACATTTCTCAATGTTACTCCTCCCTGAGCCCACCTTTTAATCAATGTTTCTCCCACAATACAGCTATTTCAATGTTTTTGGAGACTGGGGGATCAGAAAAGTTTTGTCTTGCTGTTTTCCTATATTTGGTCACACTGCACTAGGCATCCAGAGAGAGATATCTGGGGCTTATCAGTGTACCCAAGTACAGTCAGTCCTCTATATCCACAGATTCTTTATCCATAGACTCAACTAACCATGGCTTAAATGTATATAGAATTCAAAGATATAGTCATGTTAGTTTGTAGAATCAGTGTGTGGAGAGGTCTCCTAGTACCTTTGAGAGTAACTGAAAGAAGTTGGCAGCATGAGCTTTTGTAGACTCAAGTTTGCTTTCTCAGACACACACACACACACACACACAAACACACACACACACATTCCCAAAAGTAAACCTTGATTTTGGCATTTTATATAAGGGACACTATTCTACTATAGGACTATAGTATAAGACTTGAGCATCCACAGATTTTGGTATCCACCAGCTATCTTGGAACCAAATGCCAGTAAATACCAACAGCCCACTGTACAGGGAAATAACTGGATTCATCCTAACTGATCTTCCCAGTTTCCAGCAACACAGTAATGGCCCTGTTGCAGGGCCTGCATCAATTCAAACATAGGCTGGGATGAAGGAGTTGGTTACTGTGCAGTCAGTAAAAAGAAAGAAAAGAAAAGAAATCCAGCCCCTGCAATGACAAAAGAATAAAAATAAAAATAAAATATAAATGTCATTCACCAAGATTATTCTGATCCATGTATTGAGCACGGACAAGTATTTGTAAATAAATGTACTTATATAAAGTTTACAAAGAAGACTACACTTGTTTCTTTTCTATGCTAGTCCTTGTTGAGGTGGGGGGGAATGATTATTGTTCAGTTTCTTCTTTAATAATTGATTACTTGTCTTGGGAGATCCACTAGTATCTACTTTGCCAACAGTTTATTAGATCCAGTTACTCATATTATTCAAGCTTTATTTCTTTTGTGTATTTTGATATCATCTCCCCTGCCCTTCTTTTGAAATACACACATTAGCTAGGAATTATTATTTTTGTACTTTTTTTTAGCTACTGAAATTTACTAATTGATCATCCAGCAAAACATACTTAATGAGTGACAGGATTATTGTTAGCAAACCTATGAGACTTACTAGTCATAGCTACCTGCAATGGAAAGACATTCCAGTTTCATGAAAAACTAAAAATATTAGCATTTTAAATGGTAAAACAGACAAACTAGAGACAGTGATGTTGCTGGGAAAATAAAGGATTCTGTAGTACAGAATATAATAGATAATTCATGGAAGGATAAGTAATTAATGATTGTGACATAAAATAACAGCCAAAAAATTTGGATAATCTTCAAACATTATTAAGGCTAAACTTATTCTAAACCCCAAACAATTTAGGTTGGAGAGATGGTGAAACTGAAACTTTATTCCAAGAGGGATCTTGAGAGATATGTAACAATTCTGATCATAATCTATAATAAAGTTAGATTAAATGAGTTTAATTAAACATAAAGTGGATTTTTAATTGGAATTTTAGGAGAAAGGTTGGATTATTTTGGGCCTGCATTGGATAGGATATTTTTTCTAAAATCATGCTACCTTATGGCTCAGAAGAGAATGAACTGAACAAAGGGCTTCAGCCACTGGCACTGGCATCACTAGGGTGTGTGTGGAATGTGGCCCACACTAGGTGACATCCTAAGGAGAAGTGACGCCAATGCTCCTCAAACTTCTGCCTTTGGGCAAAAATGGGTCATGGCATTCACCTGTGTCCCTTTAAAATGTTGAAGAGATTGTGCGAGTGGGGTGAGGCTTAGGGCCTTTGCAGACTGCCAGAAATAGTGCACATTAAATTGAGGCACTGTCCTGGCTCAGTGCTAGGGAGTCATGGGAATTGCATTTTTTTTCTGAGACATTGAGCCTTCTCTGTCAGAGAGCTCTGGTGCCACAATAAATTACAATTCCCATGATTCCCTAGCACTGAGCCAGGGCAGTGCCTCAATTTAATGTGCACTATTTCTGGCAGTCTGCAAAGGCCCTTAGTTGGAGGACAAAGGAGATGGCCACATTTTTAATTTATTTAAAAATTGTATACTTTTTAAAATGTTTGTTTTCATTTTTTAAAAAAAAATCTATAAAAACATTCCATTTTACAAAAAGTTCATTTTAGCCAGATAAAACTATGTATCTGTAAATGTATTTAGGCTGTGTGTATGATATTGTAATTTGAAGGTATAATGTTAATTTTGCTAGTTGTTTAGAGAGACAGTGTGGCATAGTAGTTTGAGTGCTGAACTGCATGCAACTTTGGAGACCTGGGTTCGATTCCCAGCTTGGCCATGAAATCCCATGGGTGACCTCCTCTGAATAAATCTTGTCAAGATAACTCCCATAGGGTGAGTATAAGTCAGAAACAACTTGATGGCACACCACAAAAAACAAACAAATTTGTTTATATCATAACTATTACCATCACATTAAGTAATATACAGGAATTATGATTGATGAGTAGTATTAGTACAAAAAACATTACTAAGAATTCTGTATGGCATCATATGGGAGGAGGCCAATGGGGGGGTTGAAACCATGAGTTACCATACTGGGTGACACCAAACCTAAGCTTCAACCTCTCTCCTAATTGAAAGCCCAAATTTTTGTTAGGGCCTCTACAGACCTGCCCAAAGGGCTGGCTTGGAGGTAGAGATGGGGAGGGGCAGCCACACGCTGGCCGCCCCAACCCCAAGCGAGGACGTCCTGATGCTGCGCACCATTATACATGCCATGCGGTGTCAGGACTTCCTTCCAGTTCAGCATTTTGACACACTGCACCAGAAGAGGTGCTAAAGAACCATGTACCAGCTTTTAGGGCAGACTTTTGCCACCTGTAAAAGGAGTGGCATTTTGCCACTCTTTTCTGGGCAGCAAAAGGGAGGATTGGGGCAGCGTGGTCTGGCAGCTTTAGCCCCAATCTGCCACTTCCTGGGGTGGCTCTCTGCCACCCCTTTGGACCCATCTGTAAAGACCCTTAGTCAGTAGGAAGAATAGGCAAAAAGATCCAGCCAGGAGCCAATCAGAACTCTTTTGCTTTATGTTTGATAGAAAAGGTCATTTTGCAAGAGACTGTGGGCCTAAGCAGATGGCTTATTGGGCCGTCTTGGGGGCAGGGAAGGGGAGGGGCAGCCACACAATCGGCACCCCAACGCCTTCCCAAGGTCGCTCTCGAAGCAGCTGGCCTTCCGCACGGCTGGCGCTCTGAGGAGGACCTCCCGCCGCAGCATTCGCATACGCTGGGGTGGAAAAGTCTATGAAGGTGCACAGCAGCCTTTTGCGGCACACCTTTGGCGACTTGTGAAAGGAGCGCTGATTTAGTGCTCCTTTCAGGGGTGGCACAGCTTCCCAGGGTGGCCCATGGCTTCTCATCTGCTTAGCCCCTTTGTTCTTTAGTCAATAAAGTTCAACAAGTAAGCAATCTGAAATACAAAGGGAACATGGTTCAGTTTATCTTAGTAACAGATCTCACAAAATATAAATGTCATAAATATGTCATTTTGCTAGAGATTACCCTCTTCAAGAGCCCTTCAACTGATGGTAGCACTGCAAGTACTCAGTCTACAAGATTGGCATGGGACCTAAGCAGACGGCTTAAAGGGCTGTCTTGGGGGCAGGGAAAGGGAGGGGAAGCCGCACGATCGGCACCCTAACCCCTTCCCCAGGTCGTCCTTGGAACAGCCGGCCCTCCACACGGCCAGCGCTCCAAGGAGGACCTCCCGCCTCAGCATTTGCATGCAGCGGCAGAAGAGTTGGGGAAGGTGCGCCTTTTGTGGCGCACCTTTGTCGACTTGTGAAAGGAGCACCAATTTAGCGCTCCTTTTAGGGGCAGCAAAGCTGTGCCATTGGACCGAGGCATGGGGATGCCTCGGTCCCACGGCGCAGCTTCCTGGGGCGGCCCATGGCCGCCCGTCTGCTTCCCCCAAAAATTAATCTTAGCAACACATCTCAGAAATATACACGTGCAAAGAACCTCTTTTCTTGTAATAGACAGCTCTAGCAATTGATGAATACAATCAGATATTAGCTTCAATAATAATAATAATAATAATAATAATAATAATAATAATAA